CCACTGCACTCCAGTCTGGGTGACAGAGTGAGACTCCAACTCAAAAAAAAAAGAAACAGATGAGTTGAATTTTGGTATTTTTAATTTAACCTGACCTGTCCAAAATGTTATCCTGTCCACATGTGATAAGAATACAATGCTCATTATGAGAATTCTTTTTTGTTTTAAGTTGGAGTTTCACTCTGTCACCCAGGCTGGAGGGCAGTGGCACACTCCTGGTCACCGCAGCCTCCACCTGCTGGACTCTGGCGATCCTTCCACCTCAGCCTTCCAAGTAACTGAACTACAGGCTCACGCTACCATGCCCGGCTAAGTTTTGATTTATTGTAGAGACAAGTTCTCACCAAATTGCCTCGGTGGGTCTCAAACCCGCAGGCTCAGGCAATCCTCTCGCCTCGGCCTCCCAGAGTGCTGGGGTTATAGGCTGAGCCACCAAGCCTGGCTGAGAATTCTTTTCCTGGTGTGTTTCTTACTTTCTCACTCAAGTCAGTGGGGGGACTAGTCCACCATTTTCCTCAATAACCTCATGAGGTCAGTAGCTGCCATGTTGAACAGTGCAGCTGCACATGTGATTATGTGTTGTATGTTCACCTTCTCCATTTTACTGTCATCTCCCCAAGGAGAGAGATATTTCATTTGTCTTTTTTTCCAAATTGTATCAAACTCACAGTGTTTTGGCATTGTGATGTGTTTGGGCAAAGCTAAAATGTCCTTGGGTAGCGTTGATGAAGAATCATTTCCAGAAGAGAGAGACGATGACACAATTCTCCTCTTTACTGGATCGGCCATCCCCTGATTCGTATTATGCTGGGTCCTAGGATCTGTGTTTTAGAAAGGCATTGCTATGGTAAGAAAGCCCAGGGGAAAGGTGATTAAGTTACCAAGGGGTCTTCCAATCATGCCCCATGAGGAATGACCGTAGCCCTGGTGATGCTTAGCTTGGGGCTTCTGGGATAGGGTTGGGCGTAGGTGAGATTATGATCTTTAAGGGCTTGAGTCTTTGTAACCCTTCGCTCTAGAAGTAGAACGAAGGTCAGTGAGTAGAAATAAGAGGGGGCCAGAACTTGGGTGAACATTACGAAGAACTTCCCAACCATACAGTGCCAGAGAATGAATCATTCTATCTCAGGACCATGTGGCCCTTGGGGTCTATCTCAGGACCCTACACTAAGAGGTGTTCTAGCAGTTACCTTTTCATGATGGATGGCAAACTTCTCGCCTCACATGGGATAGGGAGTTAGACTAGAAGTTTTCTGAAGAGCCTTCAGCCCGGAAGTTGCTTCGATTCCATGAGATCCCATATGTAAACACTCTTGATACATGTAGAAACAACGTGTCAGCAAATTCTAGAAAATTTGTGTGATGATACTTGTGTCTAGATGCTGGATTGACCGAGCTCGGTGGCTTTGCCTGTCATCCCAGTACTTTGGGAGGCCGAGGCAAGTGGATGGCCTGAGCCCATGGGTCGAGACCAGCCCAGGCAACTTGGTGAAATCTCTTCTCTACAATAAATAAAAAATTAGCTGGGTGTGGTAGTGCAGGCCTGTAGTTCTGGCTACTTGGAAGGCTGAGGTGGAAGGATTACTGGAACTCAGTGGGTTGACACGGGTAGCCGTGAGTGTGCTACTGCATGCATTCTAGCCTGGGCAATGGAGTGAGATTCTGATTTAAAAAAAAAAAATAGATGCTTGGATTTATTTTCATTTCCTTTTATGAGCTTCTGAAATGATCACATTAAATTTATAAATTTTTTCTAAGCTTTGTATGTCACTGAAAAAAACTGGTAATTGCATTTTAAAAAGTAAATATTGTAGTTACTAGTTTATTCAATGCTGCTTACTATCTTTAGTTACTTCCTATTGTCTTCTGGCTGACTCAGAGGTTCTGGGCTTCTCGGACCTTGCTTGGAAAAGTCTGAGGAGACCAAGTTGAACTTCCTACATATCGATGCTGCATTCTTTAGCAGGGTTGCTGATCTGTGGGCTATGGCAAACACTTGGATGAGAACATGTTCTCGGGGAGATGAGTATTTTTCAGGTACATAGGTCTTCCCGTCTCGGGTTCTCAAATACTTTAAAGAAAAAGCAGACATTTGCAATCAACAGTTATGCCAAAGACTTTCCCATTCACGTTCAGCTAGTGATCTTGAAGACTGAACTAGGAACTTGGAGCCTGGTGTGTTATTTTCCAAGAACCAGAAACTTGTATTTTCAAATGATGATTTTATCTTGGGCCAAGGATTTTGGATTTTGGGTTTTGCAGCTCACTTTCAAAGTTCAAAAATTGCCCAAAGGGGCTAATGTTATACTTTTTTCCAAAGCCACCCTGGTGGGTAAACTATATCAAGGTACAAACTCTTAAATTACCCAACATTTCCTGGTGAATTTGTAGAAATCTCTTTTTCTCCAGAATCTAATATGATTGTGTGTACATGAACTTCCACGCAGGGCTACGGAACACACCTGATGAATCACTTGAAGGAATATCACATAAAACACGACATCCTGAACTTCCTCACGTATGCAGATGAATATGCAATAGGATACTTCAAGAAACAGGTGGGTTTCTTCCTGTGCAGTGATGTTCTGCTGTTCCTGTTCTTAATATGCACTCAGGCAGCCTTCGCCCAAATACGTGTCTTCCCCAGTGTTTCCTACAAACAAGGACAGCCATTTATTTATATTTATTTATTTATTTATTTATTTAGAGCTGGAGTCTCACTCTGTCGCCCAGACTGGAGTGCAGTGGCCGCTCCTGGCCACCGCAGCCTCGACCTGCTGGGCTCCGGCGATCCTTCCGCCTCGGCCTTCCGAGTAGCCGGAATTACAGGCGCGCGCTACCACGCCCGGCTGATTTTTTTTTGATTTATTGTAGAGATGAGGTCTCACCTGCCCAGGCGGGTCTCGAACCCACGGCTCAGGCAATCCACTCACCTCAGCCTCCCAAAGGCGTGGGATTACAGGCTGAGACACGGATCTCGGCTGATACTTTCTTATTAGATGTTTTGAGCTCAGTTTTTAGAGAATTATTCTTGTGCTGCGTTTTTTCAGCAGTGATTTATAATTTCGAAACATTTTTCATTCACTTTTATGACTGTAAAAGAATGCATAGTCACAGAAATATTGGAAATGTAATCAAGCTCAAAGAAGAAAAAAAAAACAGCTTGTAATTAATTCTACCATGCGGAGAAATTTACCGCAAACGCTTTGACATATACTTTTGAGTATTTTTCTGTGTGTGTATACAAGCATAAAAATTGACTCATGCTATGTATAGAATTTAATTCTTTGCCTTTTTCACTTAACATTCTGATAATTTTTAATATAATTTTTGATGGCCTGCTGGGATTTTGTTGTATGAATAGAAAATAATTTATTTAACCAACACCACACTTTTGAAGAGGTGTTTCTTGTGGGTAAGTATGCATGTGTGTACGTGTGTCTCTGTGTGGTGTTTTAGCCTCATCTATGGCAACTTCCTGATAAATCTCAGGAAGTGGCGTCGCTTCCAGACATTTTTAAGGTGCGTGTTATGTGTTGCCAAATACTGTAAAAATTTCTATTCTTGTCAGAAAACTATGAGGGGACTCTGGAAAGAACTTGATAATTGCAAAAAATATTTTTATCCCTTTTCCAGGTTAAAACACACTTTGTATATTTGAATGTGTTTGATCGTCATGAAATTTGGTTTTTCTTTTTTTTAACTTTTAATTTTTTTTTATTTTAAAGATGTGGGGTACAATTCAAGGTTAGGTATACAAATGATCATGATCCAGGTACCCTTGTGGGTGAGGTATGCCCCGCTTCCCCAGGCAGATTCCCACTACTGCCAATCCCGGTTCCCCGCACCCTTCCTGGCAGTTTCCTGCTACTGCCAATTCTTTTCTTTTAGTATTATGATAACTGGTTTATTTTCCCACGTTTATTGACCCTTTGTATTTCTTCTTTCTGGGTTTGCCAATTCAATGTATTTTGCCTTTTTATCCAGTATGTGTAGTTTTACGTTGATTGATGAGAACTATAATAATAATAATATATAGTATATATTAAGGTTAATATATCATAATATTAATCTTGTATGATATTTGTTTCTACATTGCTTATTGCTTTCTTCTGTAAAACTATAGAATTTTATTTATTTAAAAAATAATTTTTATTAATGTATGTATTTTGAGTTGGGGTCTCACTCTGTTGTCCAGATTGGAGTGCAGTGGCACAATCATGACTCATCACAACCTTGACCTCCTGGGCTCCAGTGATCCTTCAGCCTCAGCCTCCCAAGTAGCTGGGACTACAGGTGTGCACCACCATGCTCAGCTAACTTTTTAATTTTTTTTGTAGAGATGAGTTCTTGCTCTGTCGTTGCCCAGGCTGGTCTTGAACTCCTGGCCTCTAGCGATCCTCTCACCTCAGCCCCCCAAAGTACTTAGATTGGAGGTGTGAGTCACTGTGTCCGCCTGCTTTATTTTTCTGACCAGCTTTTCTTTCGGAATTTAGATCAATGCTAGTTATTGGTTTGTGGAGAACGCTGCGGACCCCTTTCACCAGTTGGGGAGAAGTTTTCATCCATCGTATTTTTTAAGTAATTTCGCACAAGAGTAAACCTCATTTTTACTTAATACCTGTTTCTGTTTTGAACTTTTCAATATTCGTGTTTTATGAGGGCCATTTAAAAAAAATGTCAAGCCGGGCTCGGTGGCTCAGCCTGTCATCCCGCGTCTTTGGGAGGCTGAGGTGAGTGGATTGCTGAGCCCGCGGGTTCGAGACCCGCCTGGGCAGCGAGACCTCATCTCTACAATAAATCAAAAAAAAAAAAATCAGCCGGGCATGGTAGTGCACGCCTGTAATTCCGGCTACTTGGAAGGCTGAGGCGGAGGGATCGCCGGAGCCCAGCAGGTCGAGGCTGCGGCGACTCCACCTCAAAAAAAAAAAAAAAAAAAGTCATCTTGCTTCCTTTTTGCACGGCTTTATTTCTGGTGTTTTTGAACTTCCTGGGTGTTTTTAAGCGATAAGTGTGCGCCACCACACCCAGCGACCCTCCCACTCCTCTGTCTTTACACGTGTCCCCGGAACGGTGCAGTGGGACCTTCACAGAAGCGCAGTGGATGCCTGGCCCGGTGCCAGGGTGCAGTTGACCTCAGCAGGGACTTGGTGCATTGGGTCCAGGTGAACGAATTTATTTGCTTTGCAGGGTTTCTCCAAAGAAATTAAAATACCCAAAACCAAATATGTTGGCTACATCAAAGATTATGAAGGAGCCACTTTAATGGGATGCGAGTTGAATCCCCGGATCCCGTACACAGAGTTCTCCGTCATCATTAAAAAGCAGAAGGAGGTAAGCGGGGTCGGCGCCCGTGAGCCGGTCGGTTCCCGGGTCTGTTGGACACCGTGACCTCAGCTTACTAGGCCTGTGTAGACTTTTCCCCCCTCCCTTCCTCCCTCCCTTCCTTTCTTTTCGGAGTCTCACTCGGTCACCCAGGCTGGGGTGCAGTGACACGATCACAGCTGCCGTTGCCTCGACCCGCTAGGCTCAGGTGATCCTTCAGCCTCAGTCTCCAGAGTAGCTGGGACCACAGGCATGCGCCACCCTGCCCTGCTAGTTTTATGATTGATTGCAGAGACAAGGTCTCGCCATGTTGACCAAACTGGTCTTGAACTCCCGGGCTCAGGCCATCGATCCTCTTGCCTCAGCCTCCCAAAGTGCTGGGATTACAGGTGTGAGCCACCCCGCCTGGTCTTAGATTTCTTCTTTCAAGGTATACTTGATCTCTTGTTTTTTTTTTTTTCCTTTCTAGGTCTCCATTCCTCAGAGGGTCAGTTCTTGTTAAATTGGTATGAAATATAAAATGGGCAAAATATGATTTCATATGAGAGGGGAACCCCAAAAACCTAGAATTATCTTTCTGAGGGTGGGCCCCTTGTAGTACATTCAGAATTTATTCCTCCGGATCAAATAGTCAACCAAAGTTGGTTTTTTTTGTTTTTTTTTTCCTGGAAGTTTTGAGAAGGTCGTGTCATGAGGTGCAGAAGAAGCGTCGTGAGTTGTGGCAGACAGGCGACTAGTCCTTCCACCACGACGACGCATCTGCCCATGCCGCACTGAATGTTTTAGCAGTTTTGGACCAATAACGGCATGTGCCCAGTGTCCTACCCTCCCTATTCACCCAACCTTGCCAAGAGCAACTTTTTTTTTTGTTTCCCCGGATGAAAAATTCCTCAAAGGGAAACATTTTGCCGATGTGGAAGAGGTGAAACAAAGATGGCGGAAGCTAAGAGGCATCAAAATGGATGAGTTCAAAAACGGTTTTGAGCAGTGGAAAAAGCATCTCGCTAGGTGTATTGCATCAAATGGAGAGCACTTAGAAAGTGACAGAAGTTTCCACATGGAAAAATAAATACACACTTTTATATAAATAAATTCAAGTTTTTGGGAGTTCTCTCTCACGTTTTCACTTCACCTTAAAGGCCTTTTACATTCTGGCCTCAATTACTCTTCCCGTCTTTGATTGATTGATTGATTGAGTCGAAGTATCACTCTGTCACCCAGGCTGGAGTGCGGTGGCATGATCCCGGCTCCCTGCAGCCTCAAACTCCTGGGCTCAGGCGATCCTCCCGCCTCAGTTTCCCGAGCAGCTGAGACTATAGGTACACACTGTCACACCTGGCTAATTTTTAAATTTTTTGTAGAGATGAGGGTCTTGCAACGTTGCCCAGGCTGGTGCTGAATTCCTGAACTCCAGTGATCTTCCCGCCTCAGCCTCCCAAAGTGCTGGGACTACAAGTGCGCACCACCACACCCAGCTGCCGTCCCACTCTTCTGTCTTTACGTGTGTCCCCAAACACATCTCTTTGCTGTTCTCTGAGGCCACCCCTGGTGCTTTACCCCTCAGACTTGGTGTCCTCAAGCATGACCCACCCCGTTTGCCCAATGCACCTGCAGATCAAGGCATTTCAGTTCCCCCCTGGAACTTTTCTGGCCCTACTTTGATTCCCTTCTTTGAATTCCAATTATTCATCTCCCAGAGACATGGATCTCAGTGTGTAACCCCTCTATGACACGGCAAGTTCTGTAGGCTTCTCCTGGGCACCGAGTGTTATCTGGGGTTGGGTGACATCTTTTGTGTCTGTGACCCGAAAGAAAGGCAGTCAGAGGGAAAGTCTGTTGGATCTGAGGACCTAGTCATTTCACATTTCTCTGAGGCAGAAAAGAACCCCGTAAAAAGAGCATCGCAGAGGTCGTGGGGAGGCACAGAGGCCGCTTAGGGGAGGAGTGAGCTGTGTGTGACGCCCAGGACATCCCCTCCACTTGGGAAGCTGGGGTCTGCAGCCCCGTCCCCCATGCCGTCCACTCACGGTTTCTGTTGCTCCCTCCAGTGCGCTTTGCTAGAGCACCTAGCTAGCAAGGACATCCCTCGGAAGCCCGCCGTTGCCCTCTGCTTTCTGCTGAGTCCTTCACCCCAGCGCTGGGTCATGCCACTGTGGCAGCCCTGCGGCTCGTCCCGCAGCCTGGCATTGGGTCAGCCCTGCAGCTTGTTCCTTGTACTCACACGCCCTGCAGGAGTGAGCTAGGGGCTCGGTGGCTCAGCCTGTAATCCCCGCGCTTTGGGAGGCTGAGGTGAGTGGATTGCCTGAGCCCGTGGGTTTGAGACCCACCCGGGCAACTTGGCGAGACCTCATCTCTACAATAAATCAAAAACTAGCCGGGAGCAGCCACTGCACTCCAGTCTGGGTGACGGAATGAGACTCCAACTCAAAAAAAAAAAAAAAAAGAAAGAAAGAAAATGCCAACTTTTGCTGCTTTTGCTCAGAGATGCCAGCTGAATGGAGAACTCCGAGCGGGGCGGAGAGAATGAGTGAAGCCCAGATGCCCCTCCTGGCTCCTCCTGGCCTGGAGCTGCATTGTTCTCCAGGGGCTTAACCAGGGCCTGGGTCTGGCTGCACCCATTGGGGTGCTGTCCGTTTCCTTCTTCCCGGCCCTCCTCCCGCAGGCCCCAGGGCACCCCTGCGTGGGAGCCGGGCACAGGGTTCCGGCAGCCGCTGCAAATCCACGTGGTACAAGATCCATGGGCCTATCAGACTCGCGGAAAAATGCCAGGGCTCAGGCTGCTTCCAGGCTAGCAAAGCGCTCAGCCTGCCAGAAGCCAGGGCTCCCCCGTTACTCTCTTAGATCCCCTCCCCCTCCCCTTTCCCTCTCTCAGCTGCTGAGCTAGTTTTCTTTTTTTTTTTTTTTTTTTTTGAGTTGGAGTCTCACTCTGTCGCCCAGACTGGAGTGCAGTGGCCGTTCCCGGCCACTGCAGCCTCGACCTGCCGGGCTCCGACGATCCTTCCGCCTCAGCCTCCCGAGTAGCC